AATCATAAACCGGACGAGGGCCGGCGGGGACGGATATCAAAACCATGGCACTATGAATAACAAACAACATACATGTAAGATAATTATACATGTAACTATATATCTAAATCACACAAACATGATTTTTTTTATATAAAAAAGATAAGAACAAGAGGGCTCACCCCACAAGGTGGTGCCGGCCACAAGACGGTGCAGACGATCGACGGTGGTTAGGACGGAGACGGGAAGGCACTAAGTAAACCACACCTACATATGCAAACTAAGAGTTATTTTGAGCTCAAATTGCATATAAATCAAATAAACTACCACATATAATTCCTCCCAAATTACTAAAACCCACAAATTAATGACTATATAAAGCATTGCAAAAGCTAATCTAGCAATGAGAGATGAAAGGACAAAGTTGCTTACCTTTGTGATCACTTGAATGGATGGGGGCCTTCAAATCTTGAAAAAATTTGGGAAAAATTTGAGATGAGCTCGAGGTAGAGGGGGAAGAACAGAGAGGAGAGGGGAGAGGGAAAAAACAGAGCTCGCTCGCTCGCGGGTGGACGAAGGGTTTATATAGGACGACCTTTACCAACGGTTCGTGCCACGAACTGGTACTAAAGGTGCTGGAGGGGCCCCAGACTGACAACATCCTGCCACCACTCTCTTTAGTACCGGTTCGTGGCACGAGCCGGTGCTAAAGATTCGCCACGAACCGGTACTAATGAGAGCGACCCAGCTAGCCGTTGGAACCGGCACTAATGGTTACATTAGTGCCGGCTCAATTACAAATCGGGACTAATGAGCTGAACATTTGACCCTTTTTCTACTAGTGATAGAATGTGTGCCAGCAAAGCTTTTTCCTTATGTGATTGGTGGAAACTAATAACTGCCCATAGATCATGTGAGTTCGGAAACAAACCATTGATTTAAGGAAGCAAAATAAATCTTAGAAAATTAATTCAAGATTTTAAAGGAAAATAATCAATCTAGCAAAATTTGTATCCAATGTTAGCAAAATTTACTTCCTTTGCAACTGAAAAGACACCAAAGAGTTTCGTCTCTATTCATTTGCATTGCACCAAAACTCACTCAAATTTTACCTCCACATCAACTCAAAATTAACATGCTTCATTGGTCCGCATAACATGTTTCCAATGACCTAAATATTTGCTTCATTCCCATCTCCAAAATCATAGGCTTCATATTCTCATATTACATGTATTCTGTATTCACCATAATATTAGCTTCAAGTCTGGTATCCATGTGCTCGCTTCCTTACGTTCTTTATTATACAAGCTCGTAGCCACTGCCGACCGAAGGTGTGTTGTGAATTGACACGGTGAAGTTGTTGATGAGATCGGACCGGGTAATTAAATTAAGATTTTAAATTATTTTTCCTTCAAATATTTATTAAATGTTTTTAGAAAAACCTTTGATTACAGTTTTCAATTTTGTCCCTTATTATTTATTAGTTATGTTAAAAACTTAAAAGCAGTTTTAAGTACCTACCTAAATTATGGTTTTAAATATATTTTCCAAACTTAGCATAGATGCTTACTATAGGCAGGCCCACCTGCTAGCAAAAGTTGTGGTCATTTCAAGAATGTCCCAAAAAACAACATATGCAACGTAGGTTGTCCGGATAGGCCAAAAGGCTCCGTTTGATAGCACGTTGTTTCTCAACATCCATCAAATGAACCTAATTTTCTTTATTGGCTTGTATGACCAATTCAAGGCATCATGGCAAATTGTTTTATTTTTCAACAAATTTTGCATTTACTAGAGTTTTCTTGGTTAAAAAGACCGATAAATGGTCAGGCGTATCATAGCTTGCATATGGTGTTGGAAATTGTGCAAACCTGGCATGAATGCCTACCTATTTCTAGAAGTTGGGGTCATTTCAAGAATTTCCAAAACTAAACCATGTTCAACGTAGGGTGTGCAGGTAAGGCAGAAGGCTCTATTTGAGAGCTCATTGTTTCTTGACATCCTTGAATTGGCCCCAACTTCAACCGAGGGTGTGTCCACCTTCTTTCAAAAGTTGGGTTCATTTCATGCATGTCAAAAAATATACCGTGTTCAACTGAGGGTGTTTGGGTAGGCGAGAGCAGTCCATTTGGGAGCACTTTGTTTCTCGACATCCTAAAATGGCTGCAGCTTTTTCTTGGTCTTGTATGGCCAATCAAGGCACCATGCCAAGCTGTTTCAGCTTTCGAAAATTCTTGCATTTTCTGAAGTTTTCTCGATGAAAAATGCCCGGACGTGATGCAACTTACACACGGTGTCGGAATTCGTTCAAACATGGCATAGATGCCTACCATGGGTATGCTCACCTGCTTGCAATAGTTGGGGTCTATTCATGCATGTCCAAAAATAACCATGTTCAACAGAGGGGGTTCGAGTAGGCCAAAACGGCCCATTTAAGAGTCCATTTTTTCATGGCCTTGTATGACTGACTCAAAGCGCCATGCCAAGTTGTTTGAGTTTTCGACCATTTTTGTATTTTCTGGAGTTTTCTTAGTGAAAAAATTGTCAATAAATGGCCAAACGTGATGAAACTTGCATACAGTGTAGGAATTCATTCAAACATGACATGAGTTCCTACCATGGGCATGCCCACCTGCTGACAAAAGTTAGATCATTTCATGCATGTCAAAGAATAGACCATATTCAATGGAGAGTGTTCGGGTAGGCGAGAAGGGTCCGTTTGAGACCATTTTTTTCGGCATCCATCACATGACCCAAATTTATTCCATGATCTTATATGCCCAATTCTAGGCACCATGCCAAGTTGTTTGAGTTTTCAAAAACAAATCCTTTTCTGGAGTTTTCTTGGTGAAAAAGGACCGATAATGGTCGGACGTGTCGCACATGCAAACGATGTCGGAAGTCGTTCAAAGCTGGCATGGATGCCTCGTGTGTCCGTACTCCGTACTAGGCTGCTGAAAAACGTTGGGGTCAATTATCCATAGTTCAAAAAACCACTAGTTGAGAGGAGTCTGCTAAACTAGGCCAGACGAGTCCCGTGAGCATGTAGTTTTTCCCAATTTGAAAGCTTCTGTTATTTGTAACTTATGCCATTATCAACCAACATGAACATTTTGTTGTGAACTAACCATCTCTTGAAATTTGCGAATAATTTTCAAATTTCAATTTGTGTATGAACGTTTTACAAGTTTGAACACCTTTTCCACAATAGATAACAAATTCCCAACAATTGATGAAAATTTTGAACAAAAATAGGAAACAACGTACCTTTCTATAAAATTTTGAATTGTTTTGAAACACAAGCATTTATTCTATTTGTGTACAAAATATTCGAAAACACAAACATTTTTTGAGATTCCAGAATATTTTTAAAAAATTCTAAAAAATATTTGAAAACAAGAACATTTTAGGGCATTCCAAATAATTTTCCAACTTTTTGAACAAGTTTAAAAAAGAATTAACAAAAGTTAGAAAACAATGCTTAGCCGTTGGCTTAACTAGGGGACGGTAATGATCCCATCGGGGGCCTGTTGGGGGAAACTCTATTTGATGATTATTACGTCAAACAGTCGTTGTTTCTCACACACCCAATCGATACGAGTGAACATGAGGCAGCCCTTTTTAATCTGCTCGTTGCCTCTGCAGATGCCGGTTTTTAGAACCTTTTAGATGGTTTCTGGCCGACTTTTACCTGTTTCGGGAATGTTTAAAAAGGTTCATGAATCTTTTTGTTTTTCAACATTGCAAACTTTAAAAAATGTTCAACATATTTATTTATTCATATTTTACAAAAAAGTTTGAAAATACCAAAAAATGGTCGAACTTTCAAACAAGTTTAAAGTTTCAAAATAGTTTGTGTTTTAAAAAATTGTCAGAATTTTAAAAAATGTCTCATTATTTTAAATTGGTTCAGAGTTTATAAATGTGTTCCTCTTTTCGTAAATTTTGTTTACAATTTGGAAAAATGTCCGCGTTTAAATAAAGTCACGTTCTAATATCCAAAAATATGGTCAAATATGTCATTGGTCATAGTTCTTAAAACGCCGCGCTGCCAATTGGTCAACATGGTTGTGTCATTCTAGTGGTTGTGCTCGATTGTGTTACTGTGGGAGGTCTTATGTTTGATTTTAGTTCGAAGCAGCTTTTTTTTAGGATCTTCCACCGGGCGACGTATTTCGTAAAAGGACCATCCTGCCCTTTCTTATAAAGAGGTATGAACAGATCTGGTCCGTTGATGTGTCTAAGGGGGTTGTACTGAAGAAGAAGTGTCCAATTTCATTGATTTGTCCGAAACAATTTTGGAAATTTCGACCATTTCGATAGTGAGCGAAATTTTTTGCACTTCGAAATCGTAAACCTCGGTTGCTTGTATCTTACACGTCGCTATTAGCATTCTCACAACACCGTACCATATGGACATGCTTAATAATTACTCCCTCCGGTCCCAATATTAGATCGGAGGGAGTATTTTGTTTTTTCAGATTTTTATTTTTTGATAAAAGATTTCCAGTATCATAAACCACCATTGTGTTGTTACAACCACTACACAGGAAACAAGCAGAAACTAGGGTATCATAGGGCACCTAAACAGACAAGCTGATCATGGTCTAAGAGAAGCTCAACAAGAGCTCCAAACCACCATCAGCTAGTAGTACCCAGGAAAGGAGAAGCAACATTTAAGACGTCTCTTATACTACTAGTACAGACAGCCAGCGAGTCCAGCGACAGCATGATCGAGTACATAAAGATAGCTATTATTACAGACCAACCAGTGAAGATAGATAGGTAAACAGGAGCTGCAAGAGCAAGAACAGCAATAAGCCAAAAGGAAGGAACTTCTTCTTCGTTCACAGGCGCTCCATCTTCTTCTTTTTTTGCCAGGATTTTTTAATCTCCACCAGCTTCACTTTGTTTCGACAGATAGTAGTCGTTTCTGGAACGCCTCACCAAATTTGAACGATAGATAGGTAGATACGGATAACATGAATGCTGGTAGCCTTGTAGTAGCGCACAGCGAAGTGCTAATTAATTTTCTTGAGGTTGCTGGTAGCCTGAAGCACCATGGTCTCCATGGTAAAACCCGGTCCAAACCCCACCATGGCCCCCCACTCAGCCCACTCTCCTTCCTCCTCCATTCGGCGGCGTTGCTCGTCGAGCACGAAGATGATGGTGGCGCTAAGCATGTTCCCATATTCTCGCGCAACGGTCCGGCTGGCCATCAGCTTCCCGGGCTCCAGCAGGAGAACCCTCTCAATCTTGTCCAAGATCGCCATGGCACCCGGGTGCACCGCCCAGAAGAGGTCATTCCATTTGACCTCGATGCCAAGCGGACTGAAGACATCAAGTAGACACTGTTTAATGTTGTCGGCCACCAGGTTTGGCAGTTTGGTGGAAACATTCCCATCAAGGCCGCATGTCTTGAGCTCCGCCGTCACCACTTGCAAGGTGTCCGGTACCACGGTCTGCGACGCAGACACCATCTCGAAGAGCGGGCGCTCGACAGGCTCCACGGCATCGGCACCGACGATCACCGCGCCCGCCCCGTCACCGAACACCGTGTTCCTGATGAGGTTGTTCACCCAGTCCTCCCCTTCGGTGGGGCCACGGAAGCCGGCGACGCTCATGAGCTCGACGCAGGCGACGAGGACGCGCGCGCCGCGGTTGTTCTCGGCAAGGTCCTTTGCCAGGCGCAAGGCAGCGCAACCGGCGAAGCAGCCGTTGAGCTGGAGAACCGTGCGGCAGACGTTGTGGCGGAGGCCCAGAAGGGTGGCCAAGGGGACGTCCGCGCTCGGGCTTCCGGCTCCAGAGTTGGTAACGACGACGAGGTGGGTGATGTCGGTGGCCGGGCGCCCCCAGCTGGCGATGGCCTTGGTCGCGGCTGCCGCAAGGAGCTCCGGAGCAACGACGGCAACGATGGCGAGGCGTTGCTCGAGGGATGGCGTTGCGCGGTCGATGAACTCGGGATGGGCGCTCATCATCTTGTCCGTGTTGTGAACGAAACGCCACTCGTTGCCCGTTAGCCTGCCTGGTTTAATCAGGACAGCGATGAAACATATATAGCAGGTCTGGCGAATCAAACCCAACTTTTATACTAAATCAGCGAGAATTAATATGGAACGGACGGAGTGGTAGTTTGCATGTAAGCTTACATATCATGTTGAGTATGGGTTTCTGCTGCTCCGCGAGGTGCTCGCTGTTGGTGACACGGAAGTAGTACTCGGGGTACTCGTCCTGGGACAAGCGGTGCTGCGGGTTCGCCGTGCCGATGGCCAGCACGGCGGCGGGTCCATCAGCACGTTGCAAGCGCCGGATCTCGCGAGCGTTGGCCATGGTGTCCGATCGGAGCTGCCGCCCACTTCCACTTGTACCTGACCTACAGGAAGGATGGGGAAATCTATTAGAGCGGGTGAAGATCGAATGTAAAATCCCATATCTTTTACTGCAGCCGTCATCTAGACAAATTTTGGCCCCAAGAGTGTCCCTTTAATTTGCACCATTTGATTGATATTTCACAATACATATCACTACACCTACAAATGGAGTGTTATTTGTTACACCTTATGTTTCTGTAATGGTAATAACAAAATAAAGATAATAAGAGTTTCCCACCTGTCGCATTCCTCTTCTATGATTAACTGCAGGAATGTTCTTTGTCGGTTGCTTTCGTTTCATATTGTCCGATCTAATGCAACGTATTCTCTTGTCTAATAAAGACAGATCGTTGGTCTCAAAGAAGGTAATTAATAGCTGACAATGGCCCTAATAGTCTGCTAAGTACATGGATGTAACACTTTAGCGCTTACAATTACTATAGCTAAACTAAAGTTCCATTTTCCCTCCCATACTAATATATAATGATTAAATAATTGTAAAACGTTTCTATAGAAAGCATCCCAAATAATCATATATATCTTCAAAGTTCATCACAAAATGTTACATTACACAAGGCATTTATTGCTAGTCATTGTTGAAGAGACAAATCAACATACAAGCAGGACCTTACTTACTTCCCTGCTTGTGTGCACGCTTTCCAAGTTGAGGATACCGGTCGAGTATTCACTGGAATGGAGGCGAAAGGAAATGAGGTAGAAGACCGAACAATGGTTGTGTGTGTCGAGAGATGCGAGGGATGGAGGAGGAGGTGACCAGTATTTAAGGACAGGACAAGAGGAAGACTGGCGCGTGAACAGGGGTAGCATGATGTAGATGTAGCTCAATGCCCTTGACGTCCAGCAGTACCAATGTCAGCAATTACTAATCAAATGTTTGGTTATTCCGAATAGTCCTGACTGTCTACTACAATAAGGTTTTCTCGGCTGCGGTAACGGAGGGGTGATGATTGGCTCGCTCCAGTGATCATAGTTGTTGCTATGTGGTCTATGGATTTGGATGTAATTTTTGTTACTTGGGTATTCTTTATACTGCACTGGCAGTTGATGAATACACCAGAAGTATTTCTTGAAAAAAAGAAATATGAGTATTTTCATTCTCTGTCTTTCACTTATACTTTCTCCCAAAATAAGTGTCTCAGCTTTGTATTAAATTTAGTACTCCCTCATTCATTTTTATAAGTCGTTTCAGACAACTAAAATGAGTTACTTTGCATCTTGTCTGAAATGTCTTCAAGGCCTTAAAAAATAAACAGAAGGAGTACAAAGTTGTATTAGAGTTGAGACACTTATTTTGTGACGGTGGAAGTATATGATTTGAAAGAGATCAAGTGGTGTTGTAGTCTGCCAATTATTGACGCGTTGCATGGTCAATTTTCATTAACTTTCTGTTAGATCTGGTTCTTTATTCCTTGCAGCTATCCATATACATCGACTATTTATAGCAATGCTTGGCCATCCGTCCCATTTAATACCGGACGGAAAGGACCATCTGTTTGTCGTTGTCGGGTGACCACCTGCTGCTGTTTTCGTTTAGCTCTAGCACTCGTTAACCTTTTTTTTTTTACCGGGGGCTTGTTAACCTTTTCTATTTCTCATTATAATTACTAACAAACATGCCCATGCGTTGCAACGGGAGAGAATAACTTGACGTGCTTCGCTGCGAAGCAAATGTCAATTATCCTAATTAGGTTTGTCAGATAGGACATAAGTTTGATGATGACAAAAGTGATGAATCAATTAAACAATGGAATTCTTTATGGGTCTAGTTCGAGACACATGAATCCTAGTCAATAAATCGGGTGAGCAACTATGTCTTTAGAATACCGTACTGATAATAAAAATACAATACATACAGTGCTTATTTTGATTTACTGACATCAGACAACAAAAATATGGTATACTTTGTCCGACGTCCAGGCATATATGCTTTTGCTGTGTGTGATAACCATAAAGTCCTTGCACTATAAATATTCTATGTTCCTGTTCTGTTACAATATATCCAGCAGTTGGATCTTTGCTTAGTATATTGTGCCTCAATTCACGGTAAGATGTAATTTGCTCTATTTTAGCCTTCTTTTATTCTAGCTGCATATTTGTATACTTTTGCTTTTCTAGTGCGCATTTTTTTTGCCTCTGTGCTGGCTCCGTATTTGCCGATTGGTTTATGATGCACTCATATGAACCGGCATAACAATGCCTGGAGACAATTTATTTTTGTAGGGCATGTAGGCTATATGTATTCGACGTATATGTTTTAACCTGTGTATGCATATTAGTCTTCCAATTTTTCGTGTCCTGGTAGTCGGTCTAGTCGATCAGTATAAGTTCATGAGAGACACATCCAATCTCGTAACAGAAATATCTTATCATCAAATCCGAATACATGTGCATATAGGTTTGGAGAACAAACACATGCATGCATGCTAACACGTCCGCGCATGTGTGATGGACTTGGAGATATTTACCCGTCCGTGAATGATCCAAACCCAATCAACTCCAAATAAACAGTAAAACATTTACCAGTGGACATGTTTGCAGGCTGACACGTTATCTCCCAAAGTTTCACGTTGGCTGATTGCTTTTTTTGTTGTTGACATGGGCATTGGCTTATTGCTGCAAGCAACCAGCCCAGCCTCCTTGCGGGTGGTCCACTGAGTCATATGGACTGCCCAAACGACTTGATTCAGCCGGTTGTAGACAACGAACGCATCAGCCCCACTTAAATAAAAAACGAACGCATCACCCGTCGTGTGCATATTATGGGTGTCCGGCGGCCCCACGAACCGCTGTCTCTAAATGATCTTGTCTTCTCACCGAGTCGTGTTGGTGCGGACGGCTCTAACTGATGCACTTCTCCTTTTTCTATTTGTGAAGATTTTTTATTGGCCCAAGTAACAGAAATTCTGGCTCATACGTGAGTTACGAAGGGCTACCAATTTTTTGCTAGACTGGCGTACGGAGGAACAAAAATTAGGGCGTAACATAAGTACCATTTCGGATATAGAAAATAATATAGATGGATGACGGATGGATGAAAACGGACGAAATTATGATGATAAGAAGCAATAGCATTTTCATTAATAGGTGTAGATATAGATAGATCAATTAATTGATGGTAAAGTCTGCATTAATTAATGGTCTTGTTTTTCTTTTGAGCCGAAATTAATAGTCTTGTTCTCAGCCATTGTGTAGCCAAATGGTGTCCTTTTACTAGTAGTGCATGAATGATTGAAGATGCACTTCAATCATTTTGCATTTCACAACACGTAAAAATAAACACGTCATGCATTTCACAGCAGCTTTTCACGTCATGCATTTCACAGCAGCTTTTCGTGGAATGTTTTCTCTAAGTGCATGGAGCAAATGGGTTTTCAAACCTTTGTAGCATTCTCTCCTCAGCTCAACGCATCTCCAACGTCGACCCATAAATTCCTTCGATATTTGTTCTTTTTTTGTCCGGATGTGATCCGCGTACATGATACGAGGGGGAGCTATCCAACACTACTACAAAGTATCCGGCTAGGAGAAGAAAAAATAGGTGAGGACCATATATGTGATGGGCTATTTGTGATGTGGTGTCCGGTTGGAAGGAGAGGGGGGAGAGAGGGACCATGCATGTGAAGAGAGAGAAAAGAGAGAAGGACAACGCGATGGCTTTTGGTGGTCAAGTGGATGTCCGGACTCCGATATAGCTCCTCCTGTTTATGTCCGATTTGTTGAATAAGGACGTCCAAACCACTTCACATATCGATGCAGAACCACATTAATTGTAAAAATGAACAAAAATGTCCGGTCGGACGAAAACCGGAGTTTTGCAGGTCTCCCTTAGAGATGCCCTCAAAATGATGATTAAAAAAAACAGTCCCCTCTTGAGTAGTGTAATATACTCCTAAGAAATTCTGCTTAGTTGTACGGTCCTTGGTCCACCTGTCTATCCATATTTGCATGCTATTAATAGCATCACTAATGCTTATCGCGATAGGAACAACTACCCCTTTGTCGTACTTATTATCCATGACCACCAGCCCAACTAGCTAGGTCTATTTTTGGACAGGCTGCTAGCTTACTCAATTTATTTATTTGCGGCATTTTTTTGGATTTATTCATCGCCGGTTATGCATGGCAGCACCAGGAATATAAAAATAACAAAAATTACATCCAACTTCACAGACTAAGATTCTTTCTCCATTCCATTTTTTCCAGGCGGGGCAAGGAAAAACCAGCTTCCTGCTAAAAAAAATCGCCCGAAATATTAAGTGAATTTCTAATTTAAAAAGTATTCCCTGTAAACAAATGTAGGACCTTGTGGCAATTTATACTAAACTGCAAAAACATTTTACATTTATGTATGAACAGAGTATTAGTCTTAAAATAGAGTACGTTTAACACAACACATACATAAGGTTTTTTCTTGTCCCAACGGTGTAACACCCACAATGCGGCTATATCTCCTACATGTCGGGGCACGACTTAGAGGCATAGCCGCATGGTAAGCTTCTCGCAAGAGGGGTAATCTTCAGACTATCCCATGTACTGAATAAGAAAGGGATAAATAGTTGACATACAATCGCCACTTCACAAAAATACAAGTTAAACATACATCATCCAGAATACAATCAAAGGTCCGACTACGGAACCAAAAAAAAAAAGAATACAACCCCAAATGCTAGATCCCCGATCGACCCAACTGGGCTCCAGTACTGATCAACAGGAAACGATACAACACAACGGACAAGATCTTCATTGAGCTCCCACTTGAGCTCGGTTGCGTCATCTGCACTGGTATCATCGGCACCTGCAACTGTTTGGAAGTATCTGTGAGCCACGAGGACTCAGCAATCTCATACCCGCGAGATCAAGACTATTTAAGCTTATGGATAGGAAAAAGGGTAGTGAGGTGGAGCTGCAGCAAGCACTAAGCATATATGGTGGCTAACA